GTGGTTACATGCATGGGACACAGCAGGAGGCACATGTATGTGTATTGTGGCGGCCACATTTGAGCTTTACGCTGCAGATTTATCAAAGGGAAACCTGTTTTGCTGACAAGAATATGCTAAGTCTAAAGACAATTAAACTTCAGACACAATATATAAACATGTGGGATACAACATAAGGTACCCGATACATCACTGCCACATGGTGGAGTTTATGACTCTGTGTTGCTTATTTTGACCAAACTGGACTTGCATAGTAGTAGAGTATGTACATGATGATGAGCAGAGGAGGGATAAGACCCCACAGAGTGTACTTAAGAATTGCAACAATTATATGCTTAAAGTGACATTAAACCCTCAGATTTTGTAACATAAAACAATACTGTAATGTGCGCCTTGTAATCCATGGTTGTTTCCCTTCTCTTTGCTGCTCTTCCTTTTAAATCCTCATGTCTTCTCATGCTTGGGGAGAACTTCCCTTTGCAGCTGAGTGCCTCTTCCTGTAGTGCTGGCTCAGGTTGCAAACGTACACACAGACACCGTGTATCCATTCCTGAGACAAGGCAATCTGCTGCAAAACAGAAGTTCTGCCCAGCATGAGAACAGATACAGATTTAAAAGGAAGAGCAGCAAAGAGAAGGGAAACAACCATGGATTACAGTAAGGCACACATTACAGTATTGTTTTATGTTAAAAAATCTGAGGGTTTAATGTCACTTTAATGTAAGTATTTTACTGAGAGCAATGGATGTGGACCATTAGGGTTTCTATAAATGTAAAGTTCACACAGCAAACATCTTTGTGAATGAGAATCGCAGCACATTGTGGCCACTAGATGGAGCCACGGAACACAGGAAATTCCTATGCTCCTCAGCTCTATCTAGTGGCCATAATGCATGGTGAATCCCTTTGCAGAGGCATTCGCTATGCAAACATTTTATATATAGACCCCTTTTAGATTGACACATGACTGTGGAATATGTGCATTATAAATACTGGGGCATGGTAAAATGCCACTATGTGTATTTATTAACTGCAGCAATTATATATTCAATGCAAGTATGTTACTCTAGAGGGCTGTAGAACAAGCATTGTGAACTGTTAAAATAAATACACAAGGAATGCGAAAGACTGGTGAATCATACAAGAGGTATAAAACATGCAACAAAGTATGTAATGAATGTAAAAAACGGGAAAGTGAGTGGTGTCGCAGAACATTGGAACTAGCAGAGGAACTCCATGAATTATAAGTTATCAAATAACAGGTTTGGCTGAAAATAAGATCCTATGTACTATGGCACAAGGTAATACATGCGCACCCTAGTGTTTAGGCTCCCTCACTGTATGCATTGCGCTACCAGAATGCTATACCATCAGTTAAGGAGCGTTGTGCTACAGCAGCCCATTGATTTTAAATGCCCTGGCAGTGTGGAAAATCATACCTGACCCTTTTTTTAAACACCCCGCGACACACAGCATGTGGCTCTGACACAATGCAGTGCGGGTCTGCTGCCCGATACTGTAACAGTGCATTGGGGTGATTCTAAATGAATGGCAGTGTGCATGGTACTGCGTAGTAAAATGTTTGTTACTGTAAAATTGCAGTGTAAAAGGGGCCTTAAAGTCCAAAATATGTTTTATTAATATTTCATTATTGAATAAGGGGGATTTGTGTAATAGGGTGAAGGTATAATACATTTATATATATATATATATTGCCAATTTACAAAATAGAAAAGCTACAGCAGCAATATAAATATCTCCATCATCTTTGTTTGAGTATAATGCTGGCAGAAATTATACAAACAAAAATAAAGGCTGTGAAATGGATGATAACAATGTGACAAAAATACAGATTTATAAATACAGAAATGTTGCAGTACAGAGATTAAGCACAAGCAAGTTGACAAGTCTTTCTGAATGATATGTAATCCTTTCTCCCCCAAGAATGTATCTTGTTATCATTTATGTGAAATGATCGAGATCCTCATAGTAGAACAGAAACACATACAAGAATGTAAAATGCTGTCATTACGGTTTCTGCTCAGATGGTTTTGCTATGAGTTATTGAGAAACCTGTTAGTGTAAATTATTTGCTAGAAGTTGGGCAGGAATGAGGGATGGTCAGACACACCTATTTATCTGATTGAATGCCAGGTACAAAATGAAGATTAATTTCACATATATCTATAGAAGGAACACTAACATATACTGTATTTGTCTTATTGCAATTAATAGCCAATAAAAGAAAAAATTGAAAAAACTTGACTGTAGATAATGTTTACACCAGTGGATGGCAGTTGGCTAGATTACAGGGCTGTTGCAAGTTTCGCTCCTGCTCAATTCTTAAGGTGCCCACACACCTTGCGATAATCGTACGATAATCGCCGGAAATCCCGCGATCGTACGATTATCGTAAGGTGTGTGGAAGCCGTGCGACCTCTACTACTGTAAGGTCGCACAACTTTTAACTTACGAACATGCTCGAAAACCCGCCGAGCATCGAACGGTGTTAGGCGGGTGTGTAGCATGTTCGTACGATAAAAGCTGGACGGGCCGGTGTGCGCAAGCGCACACTGCCCGTTCGGCATTGCGGTCATTAGAAGCCTGCCCCTCAGGGGGGCACGGCTTGCGATCAACGCAAGTACGCTCTGCCTGTCCAAGATAGGCAGATTGTACGTTGTTTTAATTACCTTACAACCATCGCAAGACAACCAGCCTTATGAAAACACACATTTCCTTTTGATTGAATAACGTACAGCGGTTCTGAGTCTGTAATCTATGACTCTCAGCCACATGAAGAAAAGCTGTGCAAAGGTTTCTGGGCTCGTTCACACCATATGCATTTGGGCTGTGCTGGCTGTTTTTTACCAGTACAACCCGAAAGCAAAGCAAGGCAAGGCAATTAGGGTTCTCATGGATGGGGACAGTTCACACCACTGCATTCCGTTGCTGTGTGCGCTTGAAAAAAGTACGGCATGCAGTACTTTTTCTTTGAGCACACCACAGTGAGACGTGGTACAACCGTATTGTACTGCGGTGAACCCATAGGACTTGATGAAATGTGACATTTCAATAAACCTCTAACAACACATCAGCCACTGTGCGTGCACACACACACCAGCGGTTGAACGTGGCTGCTGGTGTGAACAAGCCCTAAAAGATAATGGCAATAAAGTAAACCTGCCACGAGAGGAGTATCAGGGCTGCCAATACTGACCTTCTTCTGAACATTTTAGATGCCTGGCTGTTGTACTGACCCCCTGTTGTTCTGACCCCATAAGTCTGATATTTATTTCAGTCACCCAAAACAAGTGTGGAGATCAGGAAAGTTAGAGAAAAGTCATAAATCCTTATCTGCATACTTGTTACGGGTTGATAATTCAAAGTTTTTCAGCTCAAATCTCAGCCAGACAGCTAGCATTTTCAATATGAGAGTTCAGCAGTAGCAGCCTGTATGTGTATGGTTACCTTTTTAAATAATCTATGAGTATTCATTTCTTGTGCGATACTGCAGTCTCTTTACATTATTTCCCTATCCTTTTATGTAATCAGTAGAGGAAGAAAAAAAAAAATACTATGATATGATGTGCCACATTATTCCACCTGCCATTTCACCATGTTGACCATCATTATCTGTATGCAGCATATAATAGTCTTGTGCAAGGACTGATCTGCATGGTTTTATGTGTAATATGTTAGTATTGTATAATTTTATGAATAAAAGGTAAAGTATTTAGAATGTAATAACATACAAAAGATGGTACTATGTATCTTTAAAGCCTATTTGAACTCCCATTATAATCTGCTAAATACATTTTATGTACATCAAAAGGTGTTCCAAGTTACTATGTGTTTGTTTGTTTTTGTTTTTTTGGAAAGCAGCCACAGCCTAAGTAGAAACGCCTGTCCCCTGCCAGCATGAGGCACGGAAGTACCCTTGCTCTTTGTGTGGAACCAGTGGTATCTCTACAGAGGTCCAAGTGGCCTTTCTACCTGAGTTGTGACTGCTTTCTAAAGAAAGTGAACTGTAAGACTGCACACCTTTTTGATTTGAAGCATGTATTTAGCAGATTAAGGGCTCTTGCACACGGCCATTCAAGGCCATATATCACCCAGATCAGTGTGTTTCTTTGACATGTACAGCCTGTTTCAGATTAACTATGGCCGCTCAGCCTCTACAAATTAGTGATAGGCCAAGAGGTCCACACAGCTGTCCCGATTAATTTGCACATGGATCAATTAGCTACGGTAAGGGCCAGATGAGCATCCCTGGATGCAAACAGTCTGCATACAGGGCCACTCAGCTGTCCCTAGCCATATGTAATTGCACAAGGAACAGCCGTGGAGAGTGTCAGCTTGTCATTGATTTGTACAGGCTTCCTGTCCAGAGCTAAGCGGAGACCACTGCCTGCACTTGTTGCAGAAATGCTGATCTTGGCAGAGTATGGCTATGGACGGCCGTCTAAATGAGCCTTTAGATAGTTGGGCTTCAAGTGGTTACGGATATGTGTATAGAGATGTACCTCTACAGAAGGGATCTGTGCTGTTTTTGAAAATGAAGAAGCTAATGCTGAACCTTATTGATGTATCAAGGTTCCTTCTATTACTGCAAAATGTTCCTATAAATTACTTGGACATTTAAAATAGAAAAGTGTGCAAAAGACAGCGACCCACCTTAACCATTTAGAAGAATTTCCAATGGCATGACTGATGATATCTGATTGGTTCCTTCTACCTGTGCAATGTTATAATTGTCATTGACATAGTTATGTGAAGCAAAACTGTAGCAGGAACATACGAGTGTCCATTATCCAAAGTCCTAAAATATATTAGATAATTATATTGTGTTGTTTTTGTTTTTGTAGAGCAACTTGGCACATTATGTTGGTCTTAGCCACCATTTGCATGTCTTAAATTTCATTTCCAACTACTTTGATCAACTGGATCCTGTATCGTCTGCACATTTAAAAGTCACGGATACCGTGTTTGATGGCGTGGAGGTCAGAATCTTTGACCCTGATACAGAACCTGGTGGAACATTAAAACGTGCTATCATTTACATCCATGGCGGAGGATGGGCCCTTGGAAGTGCAAGTATGTTGCCACCAGATCCTTTAGGGTAAACATTGAATAGTAGAAGTGTTTTACATTTTAGAAAGGTTTGAGGACACTATCCAAAATGTTTTATATAGGTCATGGAAGTGACGTCATTTACCTTCATTGTGAAGAATGAGACCTAGGAAGTATGTGTCTAACTAGGGAAATGGGTCCTGAATGATATAACATTGCATAATAGGAGTACCTATTAAAATACAGTATAGAAGATTGAGAATACTGACCAAAGCCTTGTATGCAGTTCACAGGCAGCAATACATGAGTGAGCAGGATCAGATTGCACTGATTGTCATGCTTGTGTATAGATTCTCTGGGGATTTTTTTTTAAGTTTGCTAATCATGACCCATAACATCATACAAGAGGTAAACAATCAGGTCAAAACAGTTCCAGAGTCAGTAAATAATTTTGAATATTTAATGGCATTTAGTCAGTGAATATCACAGTGTCACAAGCATTATACATACATACTGTAAACACAGAAAAGCACAGAACTGACTCTGATATTCATATTTATTATAGCTGATGCTGACAATTATTCCATCTCAGAATGACACTGAAAACTTATGCCTGATATTGGCTCCGATATCAAACCATGCTGAACATAAGAATTGTTTTTCATAATTCTTTCATTGCTGTGGGGTATTATGTTAAAGTGACACTATACTGAGGAGTTCAATCTTAAAGAAATCAAGTACCTTAACTATTCACAGTACTGGACCTTACTTGTATCATCACTTGGCTGTAGATCCTCAAATCATCTCTGAATTTGTGCTGACACTGTCCTTCCTTCTGGAGGGTGGCTACTATTATTCCCCATGGTCCCTGTGTGTGTTGTAAAGTAGTCACCGCTTCAAGCTCGCTCCTGTAATGGACTACAAACTCAGTACAAATTAGTAAACCAAACATGGGATTGTAGTCCATCACAGGAGTGAGCATGGAGCGGTGGCTACTCTACAACACAAACAGGGACCATGGGGAACAAAAGTAGCCCCCCGCCAGAAGGAAGCACAGTGTCAGCAGCAATTCAGAGATGATTTGAGGATCTACAGCCTGAGAGATACACAAATAAGATACATTTTTGTTAAGGCCTTGTTCACACCAAGCGCGGAGCAGGTGCAGAGCAGAGCAGTTGCAGACCGGATCAAATCTGCGTCCAATGTATTCCAATAGTATTTTTAGCTCCAGCTCACATGGCAGCGTGCAGTTCTTGAGCAGGTCCAGAGCAGGTGAAAAAACTGCAGCAAGCCCTATTTTACCTGCTCTGGAACGCATGCAAACGCATCAAAAATGCATGCCTGGAACGCACTGAAAGCCCATGTTAAACAAAAAAAAAATATATATATATATTTTTTTTATTACCAAAAACGTCCCGGAATGCATCAAAAACACGGCACAACCCACTGCAATGCGTGTGCAGAAACCTGAGTGGATCTGCTCTGCATTTGGTGTGAACAAGGCCTAATAGTTAGGTTTTTTATTTTTTTTTAGATTCAACTCCTGAGTTTAGTGTCACTTTAATAAGTTTTATAATAGAAAATCACTGAATTTAATACCTTGTGCTACTGCATGGCCTCATGCACACAACTATATGAAAATAAGGCAACTACTATGAAGGGTCTTGCTTGCAGAAACTGGTAGCAAAATGCTGCATAACAAGTGCTGTGTACACTGTACGCATGTCATTTCTATGCAGAGTTTACATATGTATAGGACAAAGGTGCCCTATTACCTGCTATAATGCTAGGCGGCCTATGCCACCTGCATCCTTTAATGCTAGAATACTAAAGCCACACTCTGGGCACCTCCCCACTATCCTTCATTACAAAATGCCTTGTATTGTTTTTAAACAATGCAAGGCATTCTATGATTGGAGGAGGAGGGGGGGGGGGGGACTCTGCACATAACACACAGCTTTTTAATCATAATATACACAACCAGTGCGGTGTGTAAATAATCATTTTTCCCAGATTGTGGCTTTAACACATTGTGCACATGGGCCCAAAGAAAATAACAATCCTGCCAGATGTGATTTACACACCTCTGATGCAATGCATAACTAAACAGGTAACACATGTTTTCCTGGTTCAGTAGTATATCTTCCTGTATCACCTCTGCCTCCAGCTTGCTTATTGCACAATAAGGGCGCATCATTACCTCTGTCCGGTGAACAGGCTGCTGATCCAAAAAACAGTTAAGCTAATCCAGGATGTAGCAATGTGATCATCCTGAGTAGCAGTGTGGTACAACAATGGCTGGCCAACATTACAAATCATTTTGGATTTGGAACAGTAAACATATATGCACTTTGCTTTTGTGGTTTTTTTTACCTGGAGCTTCACTGTTTTACAGCAATTTGTTTTTCACTTCCTGTGATCCACCCTGACTTGTAATTCCGTTAGTTTCTGTAAGAAAAAGGGACAGTCAAGTTGCGGAGGATTATTGGTGACAGTAATAGAGATCGTTGTCTGTGTTGTGTGAAGGAATAACCCTCCAGGAGTATTATGGATAATTGCCATCATTCAAATCTCCCAGCTTGACATTTTCCATCTGCTAAAACCAACATCCTGTAACCATGCTGATATAATGTCTGAATGTGTGACCTGCAGTGTACCTGCATTACAATGTGTACGACTAGTTATATTGCTTGTGCTTGTTTTAGGAGCAAGGTCCTATGACACTCTGTGCCGGAGGATTTCGGAAGATGTGAATGCCATTGTTGTTTCTATTGAGTAAGTCTGAACAGTGGACCACTAATCCATTCTGCATGCTGGTTTGTCAGATCAGAGCACAAATATTCAGTGAATGCAATATTTAACTCTTTCATGTGCATCATTTTTTTATTGTTTTCTGTCATGGTTGTATTGAAATGTGCTTATGCTTCCTTTTTTAAATAAATAAACTGAATTAGTTGTGGAATTTGTTATAGGTGTGGAAGGGAAGCATAACTTGCTAGCAGAGACTGTGGTCACTAATATGGCATATCAAAAATTGTATTATTGCTGGCCGCATGTTGTTGGAGGTTGAGGCCAAAGTAATGTTGTCCCTCAGGGAAGGGTCCATGCATGGATCCTCTCCTGATCAGCCCTTGTGAAAGGGGCCTTAAGTATGTTATACACGGGTAGATTTTCTCATGAATCTTCGTACGAAAAATCCCGTGGTAACATTCGATAATGCCATCAGAGACTTGTTGATTGCCCTTCTAAACTTCATTTAAATTTAGGGGGTTATTCACAAAGCTGCCAAAGGCAGCCGAGTGAATAACCCAGCCGAAGTGAAGTGAGCCGAACTACGTTACTACGTACATTAGCTGAAATCAGCTATACATCTGCTGAGCCGACGTGAAGAGGGCCTTCGACTCAGCCGATCCAACATCTGAATCGGCTGAGCCGAAGCTCCAGCAGCTCACTCGCTGCCGTTCGCCCCTATTCTCATAGGGGCCGAATGGCAGTGAGTAAATAGACAAATGTCGCTGAGCAGCATTCGGCTCGGCTATTCTGCTCGGAACCTCCGAGGTATTGAGCAGAATAGAAAAGAAGTTTAAAAGAAGGTAAAAAAAAATTAAAACCGTTGCCAATTTATTTAAAAAATGTAAACAAATAGAATTTAAAAAAAACATTTTTTACAAAAAATTGGGACAGCTAAATCCGCCCAACTGTTTCCTATTGGCCGGCACCTGCTATAGTCTTCTAGCAGGTCCCGGCCAATGAATAACAACTGGGCGGAGCGAGCAGTGAGATCACGGCTGGCTTTGCCCAGCTGTCATTTGCAGGGCGAACGGCCGGCCTTCGCCAGGTCATTCGACCGGCTTTGGCTGCCACTGCGAGTCAGATAAGCCGAAGCATATGCCTTCCTTTGGCTGAGCCGCTCGGCCGCCTTCAGCTGCTGTATGGGCTATTGTGAATAGCCCGCACAGCAGCAGCGGCCAAAGGGAGCCGAAGGATCAGCTGTAGCTAAGTCTGTTTTCTTCGGTTCAATAGTAAATAGTCCCCATAGTTTTTATTTAACATTTGATTTTGTAATAGATAAATAAATTCCCTGAATGAAAACCACATTCACTGTTAAAATTTCGTTTGTTTGAGAAAAAGTTTCCGGCATGCTCGTTCGAATTTTTTCATCAATCAATAGTCGATTTGACTACATCAAAGATAAAAAAATGAACGCTCCAAAATCGATTGTTTATATAAATTGTAACCGTGTATATGCTACTTTAGGGAAACTGCATCCCTTGCCTTTTTTTATTAGTAACCCCCAGCCTATGGAGAGCACTGTCCATGTTTGGTCTGTATAGTCTCTATAAGTCTGGAAATATCTATAAGTCTGGAAATATTTCAGCAATCTTGTATTGATATGAAAGCCGTTTTATAACCGTGTCCTGGTTTCACACAGATCTGGATCTTTGTGGTTACAACAGCAAATCAGGTTTTATAGACTAGGCACATTTCATTTCACACAGTCCTTAACCACAGTCCTTAACCACAGTCCTTATGAAGTTTAGCCTTTTAGTTTATTTCCAATAAGAGAATGTGGTTTGTGCCTTGCACGGTGTGCTGACTTGTTTAATTCCGTACAGCTGAAGATTAGAGAAATTCTTGCCTAACTGAATGTGATTGCAGCCGACAAAACAAATTGCTCTGTTAATCCTCTTAGTAATCCATGTGATGTTTAGATAAATTTCACCGCCAGGCATGTTGGTGATTTAACACTAATAATGTAACAAGACGTGACATCACTACAATGCTTGTCACCTTTTTGAAGTTGTGATGTTGTATTGAAGGGATTTTTTAAAGTAAGTTTTGATTGCATTATCAAAATCAACTCTAGTATGCATTTCTCTTACAATGCTGCTGTGTAGTGTAGTGTAGTGACAGAGTGAATGGGAACGTACTGCATTTTGCCACTAGATGGAGGTGAGGATCATAGGATATAAATACTTGTTAGTAATTAGATCCAATGAGGTACAATGCATTTATTTCCTATGATCCTCAGCTCCACCTAGTGACCTAATGTGGTATTTTCCTCATTTACTCTGCTCTATGTGAATGAACCTATTGAAGAACATTTGATGAGAAGAAGAAATACACCAAGACCTTTTATTTTTGCCCCATTCTCACAACAGCTCATTACTTTGCTTAGAACAAATGTATCTGCAGTTTTGCTGGATGATTAGGCAATGCATTTCTTTTTATATAAAAATAGAGCGCTATGTGTTTAGTAGGCAGAATTTACAGTTTTCACGGCATTATTTATACATGAGTGCAAATGATTTTTTATGTAGTCATGTTGTACATGATACCTGGCAAATACTACCTACAATACAATCGCATGTGGCCAGGAGCCAACTTTGGCAAAGCGTTTCCATTCATACCCTGTTGATTTTATATTGTATATGATTCCATGGTCACAGCAATCAGAAATAAGGGCAGCGTCGATTTTTATCCTTTCAAAGATGTAATAAAGAAATAGTGGATCCAGCATACCTCACACAAGTTGAGCCATTCGGAATCCAGATTCCTTTACCCCTTTTCACTGCCAAGCCCTGCCTTACACTTGACATCAGCTGACCACACCATTTTTGCAATCTTTCACCTTTTTTTTTTTTTTAATTGTCAACTGCAGCTTTTAGAGTTTGAAAAAAAAACAAAAACCCCAAACAATACATTTATCAAAGATGTAATAAAGAAATAGTGGATCCAGCATACCTCACACAAGTTGAGCCATTCGGAATCCAGATTCCTTTACCCCTTTTCACTGCCAAGCCCTGCCTTACACTTGACATCAGCTGACCACACCATTTTTGCAATCTTTCACCTTTTTTTTTTTTTTAATTGTCGACTGCTGCTTTTAGAGTTTGTAAAAAAAACAAAAACCCCAAACCATACATTTTGGGAAAGCACAGGACTGGTAGAATAAAAAGATAGTGCTACTAATTTTGCAGGTCCTGCGATAAATGCGAAAATGTTTATCAAATCGATATTAAACCGATACCGAAATTAAATCAATAAAAACACTAAAATCAAAATTTGTGCACAAAAAAAAAAAACATCATTCACAAAATTCCGACTAAATCTAAAAGATAAAACTGGACTGAGTTACTAAATAACAAATATTTGTAAATTTTAAATTGTGCATTTTTGCATCATGCTAAAAAAACAAAGGAACGCAAAACTACATAAGCAACTTATACTAAAATGTGGGCTGTGGTAACACCTGATGGGCCCTGCTCTGTGTCCCCTCTGATATAGCGCAGCGTCCATCAGGGAGGAGAGAAACTGAGCGCTTCGGGCGAGGAGAGCAATGTAATCGGCTGGCGTCTCTCCTCCCGCACCGCTTAGCCTCCTGTGACAGATTAGGAGAGCGGCGTGGGGGGTGGAGACAGCTGTCACAGGAGGCTGAGCTCTCCTCCCGCTCCGCTCAGCCTCCTGTGACAGATCAGGAGAGTGGCGGTGTGGGGGCGGAGACAGCTGTCATTGCTGTCACAGGAGGCTGAGCTCTCCTCCTGCGGAGACAGCTGGCTGAGGAGGCTGCACACAGAATGATAAGCAAATATTTCACATATTTGCTGATCCTTCGCTCGGCATCCTGACCGCTCGGCACCGCACAGCTCCGCTCTTTAACCTGACAGCAGCTCTTTCCTCCCTTCCCGACACCCTGACTGTCAACACTCTCTCCTCCCCCACCAGTTTTCCCTGACTGTCTCTTGCAGTATGTCTCCAATTACACCTATAGCAGGTCCACAGCCTCTGAGCATCTATTGCAGTATATTTGATATTTCTGTCAGTCTCAAGTAGCATTTTGTATACTGATATAGTATGTGGTCAGGGGCCACAGTAAAGGCCCTTGTAAATTGACCACCAGTGGCAAAAAGAGACCCTGCCTTCAGACCCTGCATGTAACCATTGATCCTCCCAAAAGATTATTTGTGCATTTAACATATTTTCTATCTGCAAAAGCCTCCATTTTGTTGACATCCAAGAGAGGGAGAGGAACAGAGGGGCTGGCGGTATTTAGACAAGGAGAGGGGATTGACGCGCAATGTGTTAGGGAATTGTCTCCTCCTGGAGTAGTCAAATTAGCTAGAAAGTTCAAAGGTACATTGCAATGGAAAAAACCTTGGCTCTCCAGCTGTGCAAAAACTACAAATCCCATAAGGCATTGCCAGCCACAGGCATGACTCCCAGAGGCAGAAGCCTGATGGGATTTGTAGTTTCAGCACAGCTGGAGAGCCAAGGTTGCCTACACCTGATCTAGTGTATCTAAGTAGGCACAGATCCCTTACAAATGTTATACATATCAACATGATACAGTTGCTACAAATGGGTTTTAACATCTGTATGGCTATATCTAGTACCCCTTGATCATTTATCTCTCTTCACTCATACTGCATGCTCAAGATTCCATATTAAAATGTATGTGTATAAAAGTGTGCATTGTATATTTGTATATGTTTTCATTACACTTTTGCTCTCAGATACAGGCTGGTACCAAATGTTCATTTTCCAGAGCAACTGAATGATGTCTATGTTGCCGCAAAATATTTTTTGCTGCCGGAGGTGCTTGCCAGGTACTCTGTTGACCCGGAAAGGATTGCCATATCGGGAGATAGTGCCGGGGGAAACCTAGCTGCTGCTGTGTGCCAACAGGTAACTTGGGTCTGCTTCTGTTTGTATTTAACCTTGTATTAGTTTACATGAGTACAAACAAAAAACAGCGAAATACAAAACAATTCTATTGTGTTAAAGTGAACAGTGCTCCTCTCGCTGTATTTCTAATGTATTTACCTTTACTCTCACCAATGTCTCTCTCCCGGATGTTCCGGGAGTCTCCCGCTATAAGAAAGCGGCTCCCGGACAACGGGGAGAGAAACATTTTCTCCCGGAAAGGTTTACTCTGTTCGATCTAGCAGAGTAAACCTTTCCCTGCTGTTTGGTTTTTGTTTTCTGACAATGGGGCGGCCGGCCGCCGTCAGTCAGAAAAAAAAAACCCGACATAGGAGCTAATAGCTAGATTGCTATTGGCTATTTCAATGTGCAATAGCAAATAGCAGATTAGCTATTGCGCCTGCCCACTGCTGCTTTCAATCAGCATAGGTGGACCTGAAGTTCTCCATCAGATCCACCTCTGCTGACTGACAGCAGCAGTGGGCAGGCGCAATAGCTTATCTGCTATTGGCTATTGCACATTGAAATAGCCAATAGCAATCTAGCTATTAGTTCCTATCCTGGGTTTTTTTTTCCTGACGGCAGCAGCTGTCAACACACTAAAAAAAAAAACAGCAGATAGCAAAGGAAGCATTAGCTTCTATGCTATCTGCCATCATTTCAGAGGGTGCTCTCTTCCTTGTTGCACCCCCAAACGCAGAGAGGAGGGGGGGTGTTAACAGAGGGCACCTTCCTGAAATGAGAAGGGTGCCTCCCTGAAATGACTTATTTCAGGTTGGGATCCCTGGTATTTGAACATAGATGATGTTGTGACAACTGTCTTAACAGGGGATTGCCACTTACTTTGGTTAGATTTCCTCTCACTTCCTGTTGTGTCTTCAGGAAAGGATGTGAACATAAATATCCCCAGTGGTGCAAAGCAAAAAAAAGAAAATAGTTGTAACTATTCTGTACTTTTATCCAAAACTTTTTTTTTTCTTTTAAGTATTGCTATAAATAGAATTTAAACGCACTCAAGCAAAATCAACGACTGCCTGAAACTGTATAATCATTATGCAATATTAACCATATGTTCACCCTGGTATATACTGTATGTATAATTAAATATCCCTACTGCTGCAGTATAGTAGCAAGCTTTGTATAGCCAGATTTAAATGGTAACTTCTTCAGGGCTTGCTCACATGAAGTCCAGATTCTGTCCAGGCCAGAACAGTTAGCTCCTGGACCAAAAAAGCATCCCATTGTATCCCTATGGTATTTCTGGGCTCTCTTCACGCCAGCAAATTCCGTTCTGGTCCAGACAAAAAAAATACTGCTTGCCTAAGTTTCTCTGGTCCGGAATGCACTGGAAAGCATGGAAACGCATCAATAATGCATGCAAACACACTGAAAGTCACTTGTAAGCCCATTTTAAGCTAAAAAAATTACTGCAAAAACGCACTGCACTGCATTTGCAGATCTGGTCCAGGCATGGTGTGAACATAGCCTAACCGTAGATTGTTCAACTGCACACATCTGATTCAGACTGCTAAACCATAATATTTACATTTATGGAGGGGGCATCATCATTTAGGCTATGTTCACACCATGTCACGACCAGATCTTGATCAGATCTGCAAATGCAGTGAAGTGCATTTTTGCCGCATTACGGTTCTGTTTTTTTGTTTTGGGCTTTCAGGTGCAGTCCAGTGCATCTGCATGCGTTGTATGCGGAAGACGAGTGGTCTGGAACGGAACGGACTGCGCTGGTGTGAACAGAGCCCAGAAATACCATAGAAATGCTTTTATGGTCCGGACATGATCCAGACATGGTGTAAACAAGCCCTTAAGCACTGAGTTTTCTTGTAGACTGTTAACCATAGTGAAAGTCATTGGGCTTCTCTTAAGTCTGATAAGCACTGTGCTGCCTCGGGGGTCTTCCCTGCCAGGAAGCTATTTTTAGATCAGTAGATCTCCATTTGTCATTTTGCTCACTTATTTCTAGCTGGTCAGCTGCCTGTTTTTATCGCCCCATGTAACTGAGGCCTTTACAGAGTGAGTGCTTGTTAAAATGTAAATAAAAATACAGTGCAGTTAATTACATCTGTCAGGAGCAGCCAATTACAATATATCTATATTTTTCGGACTTGGTTAACCAAATCTGTAAAAGTTAAAAAAAAAAAGTTTTGTTTTTTTCTTTTTATTCCACTCCTTGTTATCCCCACATTTGCCATTTAAAGATATAGTAAAATAAGCTTTAGGAAGGCAATTCCACTAAAAGAAGACAATGAATGTCACTTTAAAAACAATACATGTATCATAACTAATAAAGTTATTGCCAAATTTAGATTCCTTAAGAGAAGTGAAAATTTTTGCATTTGCCTTCAGAGACACATTAGGCAATATGATTTGTACATGTTGAGTGATCATGCTCCACCCTGATGATGTCAGTGTCATAGTGCACGAAATATTAATGTTGATCTGCTCACTCCCTTGCTGCAGCTCTCTTTAATACCAGCTGGCAATACTAAGTAAGATGTGTGGTGATAAAGGCATGTATTTTCCTTTGTAGTACCTAGTAGCTCCGGCAATTTTGGATATACGAGCAGATGTTGTTTGAAGAGCCATTTTTATTGGTATATGACTATTGTTGTTTACAGGGTTTGGAGAAAAGCATACATCAACAGCATACATCAACAGCATGAGACAACAATTTAAAAGAGAACTATGGGGTAACCTTTTATCCCATCGTTCTCTTTAGGGTCACGGAAGGACATATACTAACGTCCTCCCGTGACCCAAAGCTCGGTATATAGCGGGCTATATACTGGAGCGCCACAGCCGAGGCGGATCTCGACAATACTGTTGAGATCCATCCAGCTGGCTGATTGACAGCGGGCTCTGCCTATCAAGAGGTAGAGCCAGCTGTGCCCGCCCCCTCCCCATCCGTTCCTCCAGTCAGCGCTGCGGGGAGCTGACAGTCACCACTCTCTGCAGGGAGATGATCGGGAGTGAGCGAGCGACGGTATATGTTCGCTCACTTCCTGATCAATAGAGCCGACATGTGACAGTTTTAACCAGTTGACATCCGCGGTGTTAAACCCCCTTCCCATCCAGGCCATTTTTCAGTATTCAGCGCTGCGGTACTTTGACTGACATTTATTCCGTCATGCAGCGCTGTACTGAAATGAATTTTATACCCTTTTTTTGGGGACAGATAGAGCTTTCTTTTGGTGGTATTTATTCACCACTGGGGTTTTAATTTTTTTACTATATTAAGGAAAAAT